TGAACTATTTACTTTCAACATACAGTTATTAGTTAACATCTACGTCATTTTCTAAACCTACTAAGTAGTGGAGGCTGGAGGGGTTTGGCACAGTCAAAATAAAGTATGGAATTTGATTTGAGAGAAGCTAAGTGTTATTAGGGAGGCTACTCACTGATTCTATTATTATTATTATTATTATTATTATTATTATTATTATTATTATTATTATTATTATATATTTTTTGTATTTTGCAGTATTATATACATGAAAAGGTTGGCAAAACGTTTCGATCCTTGCCAGAAGTCGGAACATTCATATTGTTTAACACTGTTCCAAATGGCAGCCGCAAGGGGAAAATGAAAAAGGAGAAAAAGAATCTCGAAAACATAGATGAAGATGCAGTTCCCTTTGGTGAAGACAATGTTAGACAAGGTATGTGTTATAATTTCTGTTCATATGATTTAAGTTGCTCATTAGGAAAATAATTATTCGGCGTGAATCATTATTCGGTGTAATTTATTTTCGTATGCTTTGAGGAGCTTTTTTGCTAAGTAGAACTTTTGTTTGAATTTATTTTTCTTATGCTTTAAGGAGTGTTACTACTTAATAGAACTTTTATTTGAGTTTTGTTAATAATATATGGAAACTGTTTCTTCATTTTTTTTCCTTCTTTTTGATGAAGGAAACAAAACTATTAGTTTGTACTTTTCTATGCGGCTTTTCTATTTATTGAATACCACGATCTATAGATAATTATCCTACCTTAAGTGCATATTCCAGACTCAACACGATGGAAAAGTTTTCAGACTCTACAAATGTGATTTCAACTAATGGGTCGTTCTACAATTTGTGCTAGAAATTTTGCAATATTTCGATACAGCAAGGTCCAAAAAAAAAAAACTACACTTAATTTCTTTGGAGTTAGTACAAGATTCATTTTCATTTTGGGGAAACAAACATTTATTTCCGATTGTTGGAAACACCGTTACATTTTCTGATACATTAATTTTGGCCAGTGATAAGTAGCGACCCAACTAGGCAAGAAGCTTGCACGTGGCTCGGAACATTTGATATGGCAGAGGAGGTGGCGATGGCTTATGGCCAAGATGCATTTTCATTGTTGTCGTCCTCCCTGACTTCAGGTCCTTCAACAACATGGCAAGAGAAAAATGAGCTGGAGTATCTGGATGATAGTGTGTTGGAGGAACTTCTTGAATCATCGGAAGAACAGCAGAAGAAATAATCCTTTTTTATCTTGCTAAACTGTTTTTTATCACATTTAAATGCCTTAGAAGGAAACTAATAGAAGAAGTTCGACAGGTTTGCAATGATAGATCTCTCTTCAAAACCTGTCAAGAAATCATCGATGGACAACAAATCCAAATGGGAAATGAAGATTGTTCAAATTTTCATTGGCTAGCAAAGCATACACTTGTATTTCACATCCAGGAAGGTCACATTATCAAAACGACTTCCTGTTCCGTATATGAGAATTGGAATCTTTTTAACTGGGTATAATGTCCAATTGATAATATATCTTTGCGATCTCAGCCATTCTATCAATTCTTCGTTGAATACCTATTTGGAACAAGGAATAACCCGACTATCTTACCTTCCCTCATTCAGACAATTTTTTTTTTTTTTTGTTGTGTTTCTCACTAAAAGATTTAGGTTCTCTCCATTATTTTTTTCAATGTTGATGTTCTTTCCAAACCTTATGGTCTTCTTCTTGTGTATCACAAATATATGCATGATCTCCTTCACTGCACAAACATGACAACACCGAAGAATACACCACTCCCATGTCCAGTACACTATCTCTCACTTTCACACTCTCTCATTCTCATACTTTCTGATTGCTCTCTACCTGTCAATGCCAACACATATTGGCAAACTATTGGTGTCTTACAATATATTTCCCTTACTCACCCAAACCTTCCCTTCAAAGTGAACAAATTTTCTCAAACTTTATGCATGTATCGTCTGATTTGATGTGGACTGCTGTCAAGGGAGTCATGCATTATTTGTTACATATGATTCACTATGGCCTGTTTTAAAATAACGTTGTGGGCTTCATCTTTCTGCCTTTTTTGGTTCCGTCATGATGACTGCACATCAACCCCCAATTACATTGTATATCATGGTAGTAATCATGCACATCAACCTCCACTTATATCTTGTAAACTAGACAAAACTGTTGTTTTTCTGTTATCATGTACTTGTGCAACATATAATGTACAATATTGCCTTCAAAGAGTCAATGATAAATGTACTCTCCAATTTAAAAAAAAAAAAAACCAAAAATAAACATAAAGCCCATTAACCTTGCCTTTCTCTAGTTAGTGATTCTTGGATTAATTTTATATTTCATATATTAGTTCTATATATTCATTTGATGAATTTAGACTTGAATAGACATCCTAACCCACCTTCCTACACTTCCACATGAATTATCATTTGATAGATAGAGTGGCTTCACATTCCTTTTGCTAGAAGTTGAAACCCCAGCAATTTCGGCCGGTAGAGGATAATTTGAGTTTGGATTCTACTCATGCTCACCTTTCTGTGATCATTATTCATTTTGTCTTTATATTAATACTTTTTTTATTTATAAAGAACGTGTATTCTTCACCATTATAGATTCTAATGCCTTCTCCAATGCATGCACCAAAACACCATTCTGCACCAAATTTTGGTGCAAAGTCTATCCAATGGGAACCAAACTTTGCACCATTTTGCAAAAAAATGGTTATGTACAATTTTGCCCTTCACTTTCACTTTGTAAAAAAATGGTGAGTATTTGTGTCCATTTTTATTATACATTTTTCATACAATAAATGATTATTAGTGTTGTTGTTGCTATTGTTGTCATTGTTGTTATTTTGATCTAATGTAATCAATAATAGTTAAATAATTAATTAAAATAAAAATACACAAAAAATTTGGGAGAGTAACAAACACAATTATTTAAAACTATCACGAAATCAAGGACAAGTAGGCTCAAATTGCACTTTGAAACGCATTAATTGATCATTTGTGGGATGAATATACGAATTTCGAGAATTAAGTTGCAACACTATTTCGACTTCATAATATAATGATATCGGGATTCAAAACGCATTGCACAAAATTTTAATGCATGATTTCATATTTTCTTATTAGTGGTGTTTCTATTAATTGTACTGTTTTTTAAAATTTTTAAAGAAATTAATATTTTTGCTAATTTAATGTAATTATTTATTTAGTGATTTATGCTGTTGTAAAATAAATAAATTGTTAAGAATCAAAAAATGAAGAAAATGATTAAACACAGTTCATTTCGTGTAATGGGTTGTGTTAGGTTTTTGATGTAATTGGCAAATTTGTGAACAAAATGGACTAAATTTAATATGTTGTAAAAGTCAAGGAAAAAGTTGCAAATATTAGAAATTGAGTTGTATTAGGTTTAGGGTTCAAAAATGGAAAAGAAGGAAAAATAGCGCTGCAATTTTGCTAGACTATCGCCATGACTTAACTCGAGCGTCAGAAATAGAAACATTGTCGCCCACCTGTCTCTCACCTTTTGCTCGAGCGGCAAGATTATCCAGAGAATTTTTAATTCATTTTTTTAAGGCTTTTCATCCGACTCATTCATTCCAAAACCTAAACTATAAATATCAAACGCCTCTGAACATAAATTCTAAGGTTAATCATTGTGAAAACACATACTCTTCATATCCTATTCATCGAAGAAGCTTTCAACCTTCATGTTGTGATTTGTTCTTGGCGGTGAAAACATCAAATCCACAATCCAAATACCGAACTGCTACTTCTTATACATCTATCAGAGTTCTGAAGATCAAGAGAATGTGACTGGAATTCTAGTTGTTGAAGAATGTGGAGTTTTTTGTTGATCCATGAGAGATAGACGAATTCATAAAGTCGGAAGTTGCTGCATGAGCACAATTGAGGAGGGCTTTGAAAACTGTAGTTGGGAGTTGGTACTGGAGTACGAAATCATGGAGAGCTGTGGGAATTGCAGTCAAGAGGCCAGAAAGTACTAGTGGTAGTCGAGTCTGGTGGACTGTAAGTTTCAATTCGTTTATAATGGATTGTTGACTGCAAAGTGCCCAAAGTTTTTACCCAATTGGGGTTTCTCCGTGATCATTTCTTGTGTTTGTTTATTGCTTTCATATAACTGCGGTATTTCAGTATAGGAAAAATTGGACTGTTTGATTAACAATCTTGAGATAATTAATAGCAACTTGTTGCTAATTAATTATTAAGTTTTAATTCCTCATAATCACCTAGTCAACCCACTCTAGGTGTAGTTTGGGTCGAACCTCGTTATTTCAATTAGTATCAGTGTCTTATTTCGATTCCTGACCTTTAATTAATTCTAGATGAGTCAGTCCTTGTCCATGCCTCTGTTTTTCGAAGGAAGAAACTATGCTTATTGAAAAGTTAGAATGAAAGCTTTTCTTAAAGCATGGATGAGTGTCTTTGGATGAGTGTTCAAACTGGGTGGACTGCATCTTCAACCAATGTTTTCGGTGTAGTTACACCCACTGATATTTCATTCTAAACTAAAGATGACTTAACTGAGTATAACTAGAACAGTAAGGGCCTTTATACCCTGTTCATGGCTGTATCTGCTGAAGAGTTTAGGAGAATTTCGATATGTGAAACAACTAAAGATGTTTGGGATATACTAGAAACCATACATGAGGGAACTAAGACTATTAAAACCTCTAAACTGCAGATATTAACCTCTAGATTTGAAGATATTAGAATGAAAAATGATGAATCGTTTGATAAATTCTATGTGAAGCATAATGATATAGTTAATTCGAGTTTCAACCTAGGGAGAAGATCCCTGAGTCTAAAATTGTTAGTCCTTAGATCTCTACCTAAAAGGTTTAGTCCTAAAGTTACCGCAATTGAAGAAAGTAAAGATTTAGATGCAATTAAGTTAGAAGAACTCGTGAAATCCCTTCAAACCTATAAACTCACCATATCTCAATCAAAAAATGTTAAATCCATAGCCATGAACACTATTGAGGAAGAAGAGAGTGAGTCAACTGATGCTGAAACTTTTAGGGACGACGAAATAGCTTATTTCGTTAAAAAATTCTAGAAAGTAATGAGAAATAGGAGAAAACCTCATGAACGGAAAAATGAAGTCCTTAGTAAATTCTCAAATGATAAGCGTCAGAAGAATAACCCTAGGACTTTTAATAAGAAAATCCAGTCAGTTAGATGTCATGAGTGTCAGGATTTTGGTCACTATAGGAATGAATGTCCTAACTTGAAGAAAAACTTAAATAAAGGAAGGTGTAAGGCATTAGAAGTGACCTTGAGTAATGATGAATCAGATTCGAGTGTTCGAAGTGATACTCGCTGGCGGTGAGGACAAACAAAATTTTATGGCCTTCACATCTATAGCTAAGATTGAATTTAACAAGGAGAATGAAGAATGTAGTGAAAAATCTGAGGAAGATAGGATGAGATTGATATTCATGAACTTGAAAGAAAGAGAGAAACTCATAGGTGACTTTCAAGACTCTACCAAAATTTTGAATGAGTTGAAACTTGTTAATGAGAATTTAGAAGCCAAAGTTAAATCCTTAACAAGTGATCTTGAGAAATCTAACACAAAACTTCATTCATTTATGAGTGGTATGTGGAAACTCAATAATCTGTTAGGGATGAACAAGCTTGCAAGAAATAGGCATGGCATGGGTTACGTTCAAAATGGTAATATCACTG